AGGAGAGCAGCAAAGGCAAGGCGCGACTTGCAGCGCGAAAGCAGTAACAACAACTAACCCGGCAGAAGCAGCAGCCCAAAGGCAAAAGACAATTGCAACAGAAGCAATTCGTGCAGGTGACAAAAGTGGCTCTGACAACTTGACAAATTAATAGGCGAATAAAAAAAATTGTAATATAGGAACACTGGGTTTATAATAAGGATATTCTATTAACAAGATTTACAGCTAACGATTTAGATTTTAGATTCCAAAACACATGTGTTATTAATTAAAATAGAAATCATAGAAATTGAATAGTGCAACGCTTTTCCACTTTCTCTTTAAAAACATCAGTCAAGTACAAATTTTTGCCCAACTTTGGCACCTTTTTCTTATTCAGTTTCCTTTAACATGAATATTATCAGAAGAATTTGGGATTTTTTATGTTCTAGTTATAGTTTTAATTTAAAATTTCTGGTTTATAATGTTAATTTAACTTTAGATTTTCATGTTAAGTCTATTTTAGCAAATAAGACAACATTCTTTTTGCTGGGAAAAAGGTTCTTTTAGTTCTAGTTCTTTCTTATCATTTGACAATTTCATCGCCTGAACAAAAAGCGTTTTTCAGTCTTTATTATTTCTGCTTCCATCTCCATCTCCAACTCCTTCTTGAACTCCAACTGCAGCTTCATCTCCTACCCCCCTCCACAACTATTTCATCTACCGCCAGCCGGATGCTTGTTCTCTAGCTTTTTCCCGCTGCCCGGCAAGCAAAGGAGGGGGAAAACTGAGGAAACCACACACACACACTCGACGAATAAGAGAAAAGTCGACGGCAAAACAAAATATTCCAAACGTAGGATAAGTGGGAAACAGCAGACGAAGAAGATGAAGAGAAAAGAGCAGCAGGAGAAGAACGGCGACATCAAGGAAGAGAGCTTAAAAAATGTGATTGCGTTGTTCATAAATCAGTTGCAATTAAAATTAACTGGGGAAGAATGCAAGGCTAATTAGATTTGTGGTCAGTTTGCTGTCGCAGCTGGCGTTGCAGTTGCCGGTTTGCCGGTGGCACGCGAATTTTGTAGCTGTTGTTGTTGTATTTTCGGGGTGGGGCGCGAACTGCACTTGTGTTGAAATTGTTATTGCATTCTTGCACACACACACTACAAAAAAAATATAGTTACCATAAAAAACTATGGTGTTATTTATAAAAAAATTAAATAAAAAAGAATATTCATCTATTTGTTGGTATTAACTTTATATATTTTGCCATTTTTTCATTTATTATCTTGATTATTATTACTTCTTTTATTTACACAAACACACACACACACGCAAAAAAAATGCCGCATTTGATTTGCAAACATGAAGCACCAAGCTTTGGCGCACATTGCGTATACGCAATGTGGCCATTGTTTTTGTTATTTCACGCGTCACGCCGATGACGTACGGATTTTGCAGCAACGTGCAACGTCATTATCTTGCTTCACCATCATGCTCATTATAACTTGTCACGATTAGGCACGTCACAAGAAACAGACCACAGCACGCTGTATGCTGTTCACATTACGTATACGCAACGTTCGACAACGCAGACAGCATCAACTTAATTATGATTTAAACAATTATCATTATCACCGTCTCCATACGTTCGTTGCACGCACAACAACAAGCGCGAGTGCAAAGCATAATCGCCGTCGCATTGCCTCAGTCTCTCAATCTCTCAGTCTCCGTTGCCGTTCACGTCTAAATGCGCACTAAAAAAAATAAAAATCCGAGCAAAAAAATATATAGCACGGCAAGAGCAAGGCGTTCGAGAAAAGCGGAAAAGGCAAGGAGCAGAGAAAGCTAACAGCGCGGCAGCCGAAGAGCCGGCACAAAGCAGACCCCAAGCGAAACGCGGCCAAAAAGGCAAGCGGCAAATCCTTTTTTAGCTCCCTCGCTGGCTTGTTATCACAGCGTTGGTAACAGAGACGCAGCAGCCAAAGGACAGGCGAAAGGCAAAAGGCGAAAGGAGACAGCAGACAGGAGCGGCTCTCTTTTTAGCTCTCTCTCTCTCACTGCTTTCTCTGCTTTTCAGACGCTCTCTCTCTCTCTGTGGCATATATACAGAGGTTCCGTTGGTGTTTGTTAGAAGAGTGGACCTTTAGAAGTTAGATATCTCAACTAAAATAGGATTCCCTTAACTTTTCACATTTGTTTTGCGATTTAAAAAATATATATTAAACCCAAATATTGAGTTCCAAACTCTATTTTGAATTAAAATTAAAAGTGAACCTTTATAAGTTGGATATCTGAACTATAATTAACATTTTCTTAACTTTTTAAATTTGTTGCTAAATTACAGTTATATTTTAAAGCTTAATATTGAATTTTGTTCTATATATTAAAATGAAATTATAAAGAACTGTTTAATTTTTTCTTGGAGTTAATTTAAACAACTTCATAGCCTTCTAAATCTTAAACCAAAAACATAGGAAAATCAAAACTTTAAAAATATTTTGAAATAATAATAAAATCTATATATTAAAATTGAACCTCTTTATATATTCCCTATAATTAAGTCCACCCTAGGCAGCGTGCGCTATGCATCTATGCATGAGTGTCTCTCTCTCTCTCTGTGTGTGTGTGTGTGTGTGTGTCAACACGGATGAATGAACGTCAAATAGAACATGTGCTAATGAATTATCAACTGTCAGCACAGCGCGCAAAGTGCAAACACTCACGCGGACATGAATGGCGAATGGGGTGGCAGGGCACAATTCAGTTTATAGGATGTGTCGAGGATGGCATGGGGATAGAGGGGGGGTCCCATGAAGATGTAAAGACGTGTCTGTGAATGAGTATGGAAGCGACGGAACATAGCCTACTTAAAGGATGCGCCCAACAAAGCCGAGGACATCGTCATCGACATAAACCGGTGGAGAGAGAGAGAGAGAGGGAGAGTGAGCTGTGAAGCTGTGGATAATAATGAATGAGTTCGGCTTGGAGTCCTGCTTTGGATATGAATCAATGGGGCGGAATAAATGAGTTGTCGAGAAATGCCGAGCGAATCACTTTTGCTCTGTCAATGTGATTACTCTATTTTTCAATTTTAAATGTAGTCGAATCAAGTGAGTCAAGTGAATAAGTGAGTTTAGAGATACATAATTCATATGGAATATTAGAAATATCGCTTGAGTGTATGAATACATAATGATGTTGTATGTGAGTAGTGTGAGTACTCTATATAAGTGGAGTATAATTCAGTGAATATAATTAAAATTTCTGCGATTTCTCTACACTCACTCTATGAGTGACTTTGATTCATATGAAATATCAATGATATCATTTTCGATTTAGAATATTCAAGGATCTTGTAACAGTAAAGTGATTACTCTATGTAAACGGAGTATTTTTGTTCCGTTCATAGGGCAAAAATAATCATAAGCCCCTTTGCTAAAGATTCATTTTAAATGAATATGATTTAAATCGGTATGATTACCTTTTATTTACAATTTAATACGAACCAAATAGGTGAATTAAATAAATGAATGACTTTAGAGATAGATAATTCACATGGAATTATTAGTTATCTCTAACGAGTACGAATAACTCATGGATCATGTTTGTGAGTTAAGTATACCGGATTATAAGAGAGTGAATGAAGTGAATTCTCTTTTCTAAGGCAAATAATGCTCAATTTGCCAACATATTCAGTAGTTTTCTAATTTCTTTCTTTATTGTTACATTTGAATAATTCATTTAAACATTTTGTTGCATTCATAGACTTAGAGAACTCATTTGGTGCGTTGACAGGGGATTGATGATTGCATTCCGATTAAATTAATTTGAATCGATATTCATTTACAAAAAGCAGTGGGTTGGGGGGAAAAGAAGTTCCATAGTTTCAGTGCCGCCCTAATGTGAGTCCCAAATCCCCAAACCCGGAGCCCATTCCTGTTCCAGTTTTACCCGGTTCTGCTTCCCCAGGTCCTGCTTTCCCTAGTCCTGCTTCCCCTGGTCCTGTTTCCCTAGGTCCTGCTTCCCCTGGTCCTACTTTCCCCAATCCTGCTTCCTCCGATCCTGCTCTCCTTGAGTTCGGTTTCCCCAGGTCCTGCCCCTGCTTCATCTCATGCAACGTCTCCGTGCGAGTGAAATGCGAAATAAAAAATATGCTGCCCGCTTTTAGGCGCTCAAACGCAACTTTTGTAATATGCATTCCGCCTGCCTCTTCCAGCTCCCTGTCTGTGTGAGCCTCCCCCTTGTGTGTGTGTGTGTGTGTGTGTCGAAAGGTAAATGACATCAATGGAGGTTGCCTCTGCTGGCATCGCTGCCGCCACAGGCGTGTTTACTTTTTGCTTGCATTTCGGTCTTCGTATCCGCTTGCTGCTTTTGCCTGCTTACAGTTTCCGGCTTTGGCCAGCTACCAACACAAGCATACATCTCACACACACATGTACAGAGAGGCAGAGAGGCTTATTGTGCGCGCGCCTAAGTATATGCAATGATTTTTTCTTGTTGCAAAAAAGCCACAGGAGAGGTGCAAGGTGCAAGGGATACTTGCAGCCACCTTAATAACTAATCCCAGCCACAACCTGATGCTACTGCTGCTGCCGGAGACTCCCTCCAATTTGGCGTCGTAAACTTTTCCCTTAGCCAGAAAACTAAATTCAACGCCTATTGTTTAACAATAAAAGAAAAGAAAATCAATGAAAATTCGAGAAGAATCTAAGCAAAAATCAGGGCGGGTTTTTCTGGCTTACTGCCAGGCCACTGTAATGGCCACGAAAATTGGCTATTGAGTTAAAGAGTTTTCTGAGTTGCACACCAAACGATCTCTCTCTCCATCTCCATCTCCGTCTCCTTAATATGGCATAGACATTGTTATTGATTATTTTCGATTGCCTAAAACTTGGCACAATGCACAAAGTTCTCAAGTAGATTAAGTGCAATGCTAAATATGGGAATTATTACAACAATATCACACTTTAATATATGATAGAAATCTTTATATATTTTATAATAATAATAACACTTACCACTGGGATCATGATGCGGCGGGGGCTGCTGATGCTGATGCTGGCGCTGATGCTGATGATGATGATGTGGACTTGGTGCACAGAATGCGCTTGATCCACCGCCCAGGGTGGGTGGCGGCACACCCACACTGGAGGGTGGTGGATAGGCACTGGCACGATATGAGGGCGGCGGTGAGCCCACATCACAGCGATCGGATACAACGGGCACAGCCACTGGTACGGGTACTGGGACGGGCACTGGTACGGGTGCTCCGGGTGGCGGTGGTGGTCCATAGTGTCCCTGTGGTGGTGGCGGTGGCGGTGGGCCACCATAGTGATGCGGCGGTGGTGGTGGCGGCGGACCATGGCCATACTCAGCCGCCTGCTGATAGTGATGAGCGTGCGCCGCATGAGCGGCATACTGATGCTGATGATGCATATGCAACACTCCACCACCACCGGGCGCCAACTGATGGGCATGATAGGCGGCGGCAGCGGCGGCTGCAGCTGCTGCAGCGGCATAAGAGGGCGGCGGTGGACCATGATGATCCGGTAAGCCATGCTCCGTGTGCAGGCCAAGATCTGGGGCATGATACATGCCAGCGCTCAGATGATGTTCGCCGGGTAAAAGGACATGGGGCCCCGTGGGCGGGGCATGAATAGGCAGTGGCGGTGAACTGTGAGCTGTTTAAGAGATAAAGATTAAGATTAAGAGTTAATCAAAGCGCCAGAATTAGTATTAATCAGTTTTTAATAGAAATGGAGACATTCAACTCACCCTCACTTAGTCCAGAACTGGCACCCGGTGGCAACATGCTCGACAAAGCACTAAGCGGTGTATAGGACTTGGGTGGTTCCACCGAACCTGGTCGCAGGACACGCTCCTCGGTGACACTCGACTGTACACGATATTGCATCTTGCAATATGCCTCTTGGGCAGCTCCATTACTGGCATTCACATACACCCCAGTAATGGTAACATCCGTATCCTGGACAATGACCACCGACGAGGATGTGGGTCGACTACAATCCTTGGCATCCTTGGTACTAGCCGCCGAATCCCTGTAGCCAGTGGTGGTTATAGTGGTATCCGTATTGGTCTCTTTCGTTTCCTTTGAATACTTGGAATCATTGCTCTCCTCGATGATGGTATGACTACTGGGCATTTTGCTGGCGGCTGCATCCTTTGAATCCTTGAGCTCATTTTCCCTTTCCCGCTGACGTTGGCGCTCTCGTTCGCGTTCTCTTTCGCGTTGCGATTCCTTCGACTCCTTGGGCTCCTTGGGCTCTTTTTTAATGTGAACTATTTCGGTTTTAATGGGTGTCGTCGTTGCCGTCGTCTTGGTGGGCATGGTGTCCAGCTCATCATAGCTCTCAAAGCTGCTACAATCACTAGCCAGATTCTTATCCAGATGCCTTTCCACCTCGTAGGTGGCTGCCACAATTGCGCTGGCATTTAGACTGGCCATACGTTTTCTGGCCAAAATGCCCTTGTAGTCACCGATCAGTTCCTCGGTGAAGACGGTCTTACGCTTTTTGGGCAACTGCTTGGGTGGCTTGGGCTTCTCCTTCTCCTTGGGCGGAACAGCAGGAGCGGCTATACCGGTGGCTTCCTCCTCGTCACTTTCCTCCACTGGTGTGACCTTCTTCTTTCGCTTGGCCTCCGTCTCATTGGTTGTTGTCTTCTTGGGTGGCGCCTTTTTGGGCAACTTGCGTTTCTTAACCGGCGGCAGGGGTTGCAGCAGTTGCAGTTCCTCCGTTTCGCTGTCACTGTCAAATTCCCAATGTTTACCAACTCCTCTGCCACCGGGAACATTGCGTAATTCCCTTCGTGGTTCCACCTCCTTGGGTGGAGCACTGATAACTGCCGGCGTGGCGGGAGTATGTGGTGGACTCACCGATCCCTTATCCCTGTCACCATCACGTGGCGAATCCTTGTGATTATCGTCATCGCTACCATCCAGGGTTCGTATGCGAGGCGGCTGTTGTGTAGCTTTGGAGAGGCCCAACTCATGGGCCGTGCGAGATTCATTCTCATAGAGGCACTGCACCTTGGCCAGGGCATTCAGTGAGGCCATCCGATGTCGCTTGGGGCCACTGTAGGCGCTCAGTTTGCGCTCATCCTCCGAGGAGCTGCTATCCGAAGAGCTATCGCTAACTGGTGGTTCCTTGGAAGGATTGGAGTTCTTCCCTTTCGGCACGGGCTTCTTCTTGCGACCAGGTGTAGGCGTGGGAGTGGGTGTGGCCACCTTTCGCTTGGTCTGCTTTTTGCCAGCGGTGGAACTACTGGCTGCCTTTGTTGCTATTGGTTCGGACTGCTGTGGCTGCTGCTGCTGCTGCTGCTGCTGATCGCTGGCCAAAGGATCGGACTCCTTTTCGGTGACCTTGGGTTTCTCCTCCTTTTTCTCCTTTTCCACTGCGGGTTTCTCCTCCAGCTTGACCTTTGCCGGTTCCTCCTCGTCGATGGTAGCCTGCTGTTTGGCCTTCTCCTGGCGTCCCAGTTGCTTGAGCGGCTTGTTATCCTCGTCGGAGAATTCACGTAGTTGCTTCAGGGCTGGCAGCACCATCTTGATTGGTTCTTCATCTTCTGATCCAGATTTAAAGTCATAGATGTCCTTGGCTCCACTCCAGGAGGCAGCTGGCGATTTGTGATGTGCCGCCTGTTGCATGCGACCTTTTGTACCCGCCGATGTTTTGGTGTACTTCACCTTGGGCCGTTGCTTCGGCGGTGGCGGTGGTCCAGATTGATTCGTCTCCGTTCCAGTGACACTGGATGTGGGCGTGGGAGTGGGTGGTGCCGTTGGTGTAGGTGTGGCTGTGGGTGTCGATGTCGCCGTGGGCGTTGGCGTGGCCGTTGGCGTTGTACTCACAATCTCCTCCAAATCCATTTGCACGGGTTCCGTATTGGAGTCCAGCAAGCGGGATGTGCTCTTTGCGAGAGTCGACTCCTGGCTTGGATTGCTCTTTTTGGGCTTGCCCAACTTGGTGGACTTGGTAGCCTCCTTCTTGTGCTCCGTTGGGGTGGATTGTTCTGCCTGGGTTTGCGTAGGTTTCTTGACGGGATTCTTGGCTGTTGTCTGCTTGGAAGTGACAGAAGTTGTGAATGTAGATGTGGATGTTGTTGTTACTCCTGGCGATGCCTCCACCTTGGATTTCTTGGCCTGTTGCATGGTTTTCTTGGGTGGCTTGGTGACCTGCGAATCTTCGGTTGTGGCAGCCACTATCTCTTGTTCCGGCGGTTTGCCCTTTTCCTTGTCTTTATCGGGATGCTTTTCTGGCAGCTTCTCTGGCAACTTTTCTGGCGCTTTCTCTTTCAGAGGCTCCGGTGAGGGACGCACTCTCTTGACAGCCGGCATTTTGCCGGGATTGAGACTGGCTATAACCTTCACTGCCGCTGCCCGTGACTTGGTCTTGACATTCTCCGAAATGGAGGACTTGAGCACGCCCTCGTTGAGCCGCTCCTCACCGCTGGGCAGCAGGTTGTCAAAGCCATGGATCTTAATGTCCAGGCTCTTGAGCATCTTGTTAATGGCTCGCGCTTTGCCATCCTCGTGTCGCTCTTCGGGTGATAATTTTAGGCTGCCGGATGAGTTGCTACCAACTGCTCCGGCTGTGGTTGCAGCTGATGAGGTGGTGGCTGCAGAGGAGGAGGAGGACGATGTGGAGGTGGAACTGGTCACCTTTCCAGTTGTTCCACTGTTCTCTGTGGCCGTTGCTTGTGTGCCCGATCCTGAACCTGATCCTGTTCCCACTGCCGTTGAATCCTTGCTGGACTTTTTGCTTGAGGTACCTTGTGCTGTTGCTGCTACCTCTGTCTTGCCGGAGGATTTCTTATCCTCCGCTTCGTCACCGGCACTAGCACTGGCGCCGGAAGCCTTTGTCTGCTTCCCGGAACGCTTTTTGCCCGGATTTGTTGACGCTGCCACTGCCGCTGCTGCTGCTGCTGCCGCGGCTGCCGCAGCGGTCGCCGTCGAGCGCTGTACGCGCTCCGCGACGCTGGAACGCTTCTTCGAGACCATTCCAAGAGGGCTGCGCACGAGGAGGAAGGCACGTAGGCCCCATGTATAAATGTTAGTGAAAGAAAATGGTCAAGGGGAAGAGACTGGGGGAAAAGATACGTATCCCAGGAGGGGAGGGGAGACCAGAGACGAGAAACGAGAGAATGTTACCCAAAATACACATATAAAAAAATAGTAGGGTCAATTGAAAATTATTTTGTATCAAAAGTAAGGGCTAAAAATAAATATAAGATGTATTTATTTATTTTAAACCTGCAGAATGTATAATTTATGGACTCAAAAATATATTATTTTGTTATACATTGTTAATAATATTTTCAAAAATTATACATTATTAATAATATTTTCAAAAATCTTAAATGAATCATCACACATTTGGTATTTTTTGTATTATATTTATATCCTTTCAGTGTATTTTAATTTCAGTCAGAAGAGTGATACGATGTGAAGGAGTCATTTCCGACCCTATAAATCATATATATTCTTGATCAGCATCAACAGCCTAGTCGAATTATATAACTCAGGCAAAAAAAATTTTTTAATTTTTTTTTACAAATTTTATAAGGGGTTGCATCGTTAAAATTTTCCAAAAAATTACAATTTTTCTACACTTTTAATTGAGTATGCAGATTTATTAACCTAACAAAAACTAACATAGGAAAGGTTTCCGAACGAAAATTAATGTGTTTTTGGCTGAGTTATGAGAATTTTAATTTTTAGTTTGCCGAAGAAAATTGCTATATAAAAATATATATAAATATTGATTCAATGAATATAAATATTTTAAGTTTAGTTAGTTGCAAAGTAAATGTCGGATTCCCAAAGTTATTTTCCTATTTTGTTTATTTATATTTCAATTTAAAACTATATGAAAAAGTGTATGTCTAATATGAAAAAAACTAATTATAAAAAACCATATATACAGTTTTTGCATCTGTTTCGTATGATTTCTTGTTGTGTACACTTTACTTTCGATTTCTTTCCGCCCTCCTTTCTTATGCCCTTTTTCCTAATTCAGTTCAAGTGGAGGCACGTGACAAACAATGGAAAATCCACCTCTTTTGAGCTGGGAGGAAATTTTTCCAAGGATGTAGGCAACCCAAGAGCTCAGAGCTTGGCTACGGGGAAATTAAAATACAATGATCACTTTCTATATAGTTTTAGGAAACTGTATGATTAACTTGTGATTGTGCATACACTATACTATTGGTAAATGCAAAGGAAATTGTAAATATGTAACTGTAATCCAGTAAATATAATTTTTGATTATTTTAGTAATAATTAAACGATTTTTAAAGGATTTGAGAAACCTTTGTGATTTCTAAAGGTACCTTAAATATTTATTTCAAAAATTAGTAGAAACTTCGGGAAGCCCTAACAGTTTTCAATTTAATTATAGGATCGAATCTGAAACCAATCATAACTAAGCTTTAAACATGAGCAATATTTTAATCAATATTTATTTATATTTTTATATGACAATTTTATCGGCAAATCAAAGTTTAAAATACTTATAACTCAGCCAAAAAAGCATTAATTTAAATTTGAAAAGCGTTCCTGTGTTAGTTTTTATTAGTTTAATAAATCTGCGAACTCAATTAAAAATTTTAACAAATTTAAATTTTTTCGAAAATTTCTGACAATTTTAACGAAGCAAACCCTTATAAAATTAGGAAAATATTTATAATTTTTTTTCCTCCTGAGATGGCTAAATCGATTCTGCTGTTGATGCTGATCAAGAATATATATGATTTATAGGGTCGGAAATGACTCCTTCACACTGTTACAAGCTTTTAACTAAAATTAGGAAACATTACCCTGGGTATAAATATTTATTTCTTCTACAATTAATAATTTGCTATTAGTATAACATAAGATATAATCTCATTAATTTGCCTAATATTATGAATTAAATATTAAATAAAATTAAGATACTGTAATGCATGTGTATTTAAAATGTAAAAAATAATATGAATATCCTTAATAAAATTCGATACCTAGTTTTATCACCTTCTGATCTTGTTTTCTTCCTCTCTTTCTCTTTCTCTGTCTCTCTTGGCCGTGTTTTCCCTCCCCCATCAAGATCGCTCTTTCGGGGACCGTTACAATGCAGAAAGGTCACTGCTGCCTGCTGTTCATTGTACTCACCTCTCGTTCGCACTCTTAGGATGGCTCTTGCTTGCCGTTTCGCTTGCACTCACTGCTCAGTTGCTGGTCGGGCGCTGCTGCTGCAACTGTTACAACAACAACCACTACTGCAGCAACTGCAACTGCCACGACAACAACAGCAACAACAACAACACGAAAAAGAGTTCGATGGTGCCAAGAGGCCAGCGACGGGCACAGAAATCCGTCGGAAGGCCATCTGGCTGCTGCTCAAAGATCCGGACACGCGATCCGGATCCGAACTTGTGGGACACTTGGTTCGTATGCCTTTATTTATTTATTTATTTGTTTATTTTCACTTTGCTTTTTTTTGTTGTATACTTTCAATTGTTTTTTGTTTGTTGCTGCTTTAGCTACTTTGTTGTTATTGTCGATCGGTTATCGGTTTTACTGCGTGGATGAGAGAAAGGGGGAAAGAGGGGAAAAAAGCATAAATATAAACATAAACATAAACATTTTATAACTCTGCACACATTTCGTCACAAAGTGTGTGGGAAACACAAATACATATAAAAACCCGCTCACTCCGTGAACACGTATACACACACACAGGCACGCGGCAGAGGGCGGAGAGCAGCAGCAACGGGAATATCAACAAAAGAAAGAAAATTCACTCTACTCTCTCTCTCTCCCTCTCTTTCACTTACACACACACACACACACACAACTAGGTGGGTTACAAGAACATCAAAAAATCACAATTTACAATTTTGAGTAATTAAAAACGCTCTTTGATTTATGTTTAGGGAAGTACACATGGAAAAAAAAAATTGCAATTACTATTCACTGACACTCCCCCTCCTCCCACTGCCACCCACACGCACGACCGTACACTCACGCCCCCCTCTGACACATACGCACACAGGCACACAGACACAGCGAGAGCGTTTGGCGTGCAAACATAATGCAAACGCTATTCCAATTGGACATCAATTGGTTGTTTTTCCCATTGAAATCAAACACGTCGCGTCGAACCGCACATTGTAATCAATTGCGAACGCAACAAAAATCCATTGGGGACACACTCAATAAACAAATCACAGAAAAAAAATAAATAAACGCACAGTAAATACATATGTATCAGTGTGACCGTCACATTACCGTTACAAAATACCTTGGGAGAGCAGTAAATTAATCGATACTATCGATGGCAAGGTTTTTGGCGCCACCATCGATGAGTTTTTGATTTGCACGAAAAGTATCGATAAAGTCCTGTTTTTGATATTATTTATTTATTTATTGTTGTTATTTGTGCAGTTGTACATCTACAACTAGCAACTTTACTCAAGTAATTGCATCGAATTTTTTTCTGCAAAAATTTCACTTACAAGAAATGGTTATAAAAATGCGCATCAACTCGCATCAACTACTAGTGTGGCTTCATTTTCTTAAATATACCAACTTGTAATAACGATTTTTGGTCTTATTTTGCTTATTTTTATATTTTGTTTTCCCTTAAATTACGAGAACGAGATGGTAGAAACCCATTTTATAACAGAGATAAAAAAGGCCAATTCTGTTCTAAAGAACTATACGAAAAGGATAGAACAAAATACAAGAAGGTGAATGTTCTGGAAATACTAAATACTACCTCGCGCAATCTACTAACACCATTCTTTCTAGTATTTTTTTTATCTCTTATCCCCGTGCTATCGATAGTGCGTGTTTAATGGCGCTAAAAATAATTCAAAAATAAACTGCAGAAGTCGTTATTTATACGAAAAACATAGATTGTACTTGATTTGTTTAAATTTTAACTTTTTTAATTAATTTTTTTTTACATACAAAGTAAATTTTATCTATTGCTTGCAATTAAATGAACAAGTATAATAAACTAAACACTTTTTAGAGCTTTTTAAGCAATTGGAAGGAACTGCTTAGTCCCACACAACTCTTTTTCTGTTGAATGATGGATTTATCTATCAGAGCATCATCACTGTTAATCTGTTCGAGGATATATGCAGATTGTTTCTTTTTTGGTAGTTTTTCCAGGCTCGATTTCTTTGCCTTCTTTATCTTCATAGATGAAATCTTCTTTGTGCCCCTAAAAAATTTATTCTTAGCCTTAGCCTTAGCCTTAGCCATGGCATTTGCAGTATCACTTTGGCGCTGCTTCTTGGCCATTCTTGCTGACCATGAAGTTGAGACCGGGGAATTTTTAATGTTATTGGACTTCTTATGCACCATGGGAATGGTCTGTTTAACTGGTTTCTTTTCCATATTTTGCATTACATCAGTCTGGTTAGTACGAAGATTATCCATCATCTGGCCTCCCCTTGCATTTGTAGTTGATTCCTGTTTTGGTGAGCTTTTATCCGACTCTTGATCCAAAGATTTAATGGTATTAATATCAACAGGACTAGCTAAATTTAGATATTGAATTTGGTTAGTGGGATTAATAATGATCCGCTTGTTTAGAAGGATTACCGGAGTCACATGAAGTTCCAGGAACTGATCTTGAAACCAAGCGACCAGTTTCCCTATCGACAAGTGTAAACCTTCCACGAACGGGCGCCATTTTTACATATATCGTTGAAAAAATATATTTTTGTAAGAATTTTAGCAAATATTTTCGAAGCTATTGAAACGGTAGAGAATCTGTGACTGAATGAATGCTAACAAGTCATAACATATGTACATAGATGAAAAGGCCTACTTTGGGATCGGTGGAAAAGCAAACAAATTTTTGAATAAGTTTTTCGTGTTTAAAGAACTACAAAATTATAAAAATGTATAATCACATTAGCCATGAAGTTTATTTCTTTAATTCTCAAGTAAAGGAACTTAAACATTTTGATGTTTAGCTCAGTCTAACATTTACTTTCGTCCCGATAAATTCTATTTTGTATAAATTATTTTTGGAATAAAACAACAAATATTCGGAAATTATTTGCGTGTTCATTGGCCAAGAACATAACAGTGTTTTCCACACATTATTTTGTGTTGTGTAAAAATAAGTTATACAAATGTTAAAACTAACAATAAGTAATAATGATAAAGTTTATGGCAGTATTTTGACTCATTTATGGTAGTAATAACAGAAGTTATACATGATTTCAATTTATATTGGTATGTCGCCCAGAATAATTTGAATGCCAGACTATCCTGGTAACATAGTTCTTTTATTATTTTTAAAAACTTTCACTGCTTTCGTTTTAAAATTGAGCTTTTTCCAGATTGTTATATAAGATTTAAAAGCAGTGCACAACTGCTTGGTTAACGGTTGCCCGGCTTTTGCACTGCTTTATAAAAAAACCCGTTTCTTACACCACAGTGTGTTCTGGATATTAAACAACTTTTGATGTAAAATATACCAGTGCTACTTGTCCCTCGCCTTGCTGAAGACTTAAATCAGCTACTGCAGAGCCAAGGATCGGTTATCTATCTAAGTTCCAATAAGTTTAATGTGGTGAAGCGTCGTCAAGTTCCTTGAAGGACGTGCATATATATGCTTGTTCTCCTTTGCTTGGTCCTTCTGCGTCCCGAGTAGTTTTCTCAGCAAACTTTTCGTCATTTACAAGTTCAAAAGTCAAGCTAATTTAATTTTTTAAAATTAATTTAACTTGGTTTAAAACCCCCGCAACGTAATATAGGTGGAACTACAATATAATCGAATAACGATTAATTTGCTGCTTTCGACTTTGAAATAACTAAATCATAAATCTGTAATGTTCATTATCCTTTTATTTTTAAGTCAATGAGAGAGAGGTTTTAAAGCGGTGCTTGTCATTTTTGGTTCCTTGCTATATTAATAATATTAATATTAAACAGACCACGTAACGGTACAGTACTATTCGATAATGGTGTACAAAGTGGACATCCTGCTGAACTGGAAATTAATCGATTTGTATTGAATCAACTTTTTCTAAACAATAAATCGACAAAAATTTTAAATCTGTGTGTTTCAGGCTTGAAATAATTATATATGTATATATATCAATGATGATATGATATATCAATGAACCTATGAATAATTGCATATAATTAGCAATGTTCATCACCTTTTAAATTACATGATATCCCTCAAAAATATAATTAAATATAATAGATTCTTTCGAATATTCGATCGAAGAATTAATTTTATATTCAGTTCTTGTAAATTAACCACATATTCGAAAAAAGTGTAAAAAGTGGACATCTCCTTGAGCTAGATTATTCGATAAAGTTTATATCGATTACAAAGGAAAACAGCTGGAATACCGTTACATTCATACCGGTACGCCGCCATTTTTATCACGTATTGCAGCTAGTTAACATCACATTGTCATATGTTCTCTGCTTTAATATAACGTTCATTTCGTGCTGCGCATGTTTTCTGTGCAGAGGAGTCGAAGCAGCTCCATGGAAGGGGGGTTACAGCTGCTGCTGCACCGCACCACGGCATTATGCGTATCCTACGACCCCTTCTGGCACAACCACTGCCTCTGCCTCCTGTTTCCTTACTCTCTTGCTTTCTTTTTCTCTCTCCTTTCACTCTCTGTGTCTCGCTTTCTCTCTGTTTAACGCCCTTGTGTGGGTGATTCCTGGTGATGCTGTGCCGTGCCATGTGTTTTGTGAATCAGCCCCCGCTCTGCCTCCGCTGGCGCCCCCTACCAGTCGGCGTTCCTGTTACGCTTCGGCTGCTCCTCGTGTCCTTTCGGCTACTGCTCCGTTTCTCTGCTTTCAACCGTTTTGGTCCATTGCACAGTGGAGCATAATCGAACAGTTAGTTGCCTTTAATAAATAATTTATAGCCTACTTATTGGCCCCGTTCATGATTATCTGCACTTTAAGTTTATATGATTCCTTTTCTAGACAATTTTGTAAAAATAGTTAAGTGGATTGGTTACTCTAAATCAAAATGAACAAAATATAAAGAATTAATTAAATTGTCTAGTTTTAACCACTTGTTATATATTATTTGCACTCAAAAATTGATAAATTAACGTAATTTTCCTACCAGGATTCGGGTTGTGTTGTTCTGAAACAAATTCCAAACTTAACTTATTCCCTTATTTCTAAAAATAAAAATGATGCCCAAAATAACATAAATTTTGGATATTTTATTATTATTATTAATATTATTATAAATACATAAATATATTTTGTGAAAGATTCGTTCCATCTAGATTTTTCAATTATCTATTATTATATATCATCTAGATGATCTATTATTATTTAAGCTGAATTATGAAGTTGGGTCAACTTGTCCTTGACAATTAGCACACCATAAATCAATTGTATTTATTCTGTTGAATTAAAATTAAGAATTATAAGCATCCTTTGTCACACCCAAACCCACTGTTCCCGGTGTCGGAGCTGAGCCGAGGCCGAATTGGGCTGAGCTGCGTTAGCACTGTAGCCGGAGTCGGAGCCGAATCCTCATCCGAGTCCAGATCCGGCTGCTGGAACACAGCGGGCCGACGATATGGGAGCAGAGCGGAATCCAGTGGCACTGCACGGCTGACGGCTGCTGTTCGCACAAATCGCGCCGGACGGGAGCCAAGCTTCGTCCCGGAGAACGTACGGAGAGGAAAGCTGAAAGCATCCGGATGCTCGCAGTGCCGGAATCGGCAGCGGCATCGGCATCGGCATCGGCAGCAGCAGCAGCATCAGCAGCAAAAGCAGTGCTCAGTTCCGCGCAAGATTCCAACGCAACATCGTGGCAATCTCCATTCTGCGGCAGACGCGGAGATTGCGTGCGCAGCGCACGGGCGGACTGCACGTAAGGAAGCAACCGGAGTCCTCCGGAATCCACGGCAATTAACAAAAAAAAAAAAAACGCCACCGCACAAAAAAAAACTCGGCACGAAATTCAACACCGAAAATAGTTTACTTTTTTGTTTTTAATTCTTCCCCATTGTAATATATACATATATATATTTGGGCAAAAAAATATATAAATTTTGTTTGCCGTCTCACAAAAAACCCCCTTTTTTTCCTTCGCCGCGTGCGCGTTTATGTGTGTGCGTGTGTGTGCCTGCGTGCGGGTGTGATTTCGCGCGCGTGTGTGTGTCTTGTTTTTTTTTTGTTACAAATTTTTTTTTGACGTGGTTTAAGAGCCTTGACCAAAAAAGAAATATATATAATATATAATATAAATAAATTAATTAAAATAAAGGAAATATAAATCAAAAGACAAACAAGAATATGTAAAAAAAGCCAATGATGCCAATAGCATCTTAAGCGCACAAAATAATACAAAGAAATATATATAGTAGGAATTATCTAGTTAAGCTTAAGGCAAACGATACGCACAAAAATTGCCATAACAAATCAAGTAAATAAATTAATAATTCAATAAGTTTAAACAATAATTGTTAAAGAGAAACAACACAAAACAAAATTGACAAGCTAAAGTTGCAGCTAAGGAAAACCCAAGTAAGTAGGCTAAAGATTTGGACTTGTGGTATCTAAAATTATGGCATAAGAAGATATAGACTATATAGTTTAAGATAAATACAAAAATAATATACAATTTATAGAAAATAATTCAATAAACCATAAATACCATAATAATTAACTTAGAATACCCAAGAAAAAGGGTAAAATCATAAGGATAAGCCAAAAATATTTATAAAACTTGATACTTTTTCAATACGAACTTTTATAACTAAAACTAAGACTAAGGATTTGTGGAGCCCTAAATCAAATTTTTTGATAAAAAATCTATTAAAATAAATAATAATACCACAAAGGTACCGGAATTCTATGCAGAAACGTTGCTAAAATTTTGTTTAAAGATAGGATTCTAAAGGCAGGACTTCCTATAAAGAAATAGATGTTAAAGCTACTGAAATTCCCTACAAATGAAATGCCATAAAAATATAAGTAAAATTAACATCCCTGATAGATTATTTAATCTATTATTTAATTTCTTTGGCCAACTCTAAATAGTTTCCTTGACACTATTTCCCGTTTTCGTTTTTGCCAAGAAAAACGGCGGAAAATCAGATGGAGGCAGCACCAATACACACAGCACTCTCTCTCTTACACACACACACACACAGAAACAAACCAGCACACACACACACGCATACCCACACAGAAAGACAAACACGTATATATAGACATAAATCCACGTAAAGCTGTTGCCTGGCCTCTAAAATGGCTGCCGCTGCCTCTGCCTCTGCCACTGGTAGCTGCGGCGCTGGCAGCGTGGTAAGCAGCGCGCAAGAAGTTGAGGTTATGTCTGCGCCGCAAAATGTGCTTGGCTCGGAATCAAAAAAAAAAAAGGGGAAAAGAACCCCAAAAAGAAAAATAAAATAAAAACAGAACGAAGGTAACTCGAGGATTTTGGGGGGGCTGAAGGGAACGCATTGCTGCCGCCCTTGGCATGGAAATTCAGTGCTATAGCCCCCTTTTTTTCGATGGGCGTGACGACGACGCCGACTACGACGAGTGCAGCAGCATCGCTTTTTTTTTTTTGCCATCCAAAGGGATAATGCTGCTTCGCTTTTGTCCTTGTCCATGCAGGATTCTGCTTTCTTTCTTGCTTTTTCTTCATTATTTTACACATGAAAGAATAATTGTTCCAGATGAAAGCGAAATTATCCAGGAAAGCCCTTCAAAATGTGATCAAAAGTATGCAAGAAACTAGTAGTTTCCTATTTCCGGGTATTTAAAATCCTTTAGCATGTTTTGGACATAATTTTTCACTAATTTAATAATAAAAGCAACATTTTGAGAATAATAATTATTTCTTTAATAAATAAAGTGATGTATTATCCTTAAAAATAGGTCTTTAAGTTAGCCATATAATGTTTCAGTGTAAATTTATGTCCTTTTTACCATGAAACCTGAATATTGAATATTTTGAATATTGGTTTTTAAAGGATACATTTTCAATGTAAATCAATAAGTAATAATAGATGGTTTGCTTCTTCAAAATTGTTTGTTAAAAATATTAACATACATTTTTATACCTAAATACAGAGCTTTGTTAATTCAATAAACATAGCTGAATGTTATCAAATAAAACTAACATATATAAGGTTATTTTTTGTAGAAAGTCTTATGTTTTTCAAAATCTAATTTAAAAGACCTATTGTTCTGTGTGTATACATATTTATCTGATGGTTTGGGGCTGCTGGAGAAGGAGGGTTGTGCTTTCCACGATGTGGATGACCTAGCCCTATTTTTGGGCATTGCAGAGTCAACTGCTGCCAGCAGAGAGTTCTTTTTTTATTTTCTTTGCCTTTTCTGTTGATTTTCATTTCCCCCTGACTGGAATAAGAAAGGCAGAGGGAGAAATTTGAGAAAATGAAGTGAAAAGAACAATCGACTGATAAATACTTTGAGCAAAAAGACAGTCACAGGATTTATGCAATAATTTATATACGTAACCTGAATATTCTTAATATTAGAAATGAACTATATGAATTATTATGATTAGAAGGATATATAGTACAATATGTAAAAGCATTACGTAAATGTCCATATGAAATTTTTTAAATTTTTAATAAATTAATTAATCCCAAAATCTCTTTCATTTCAGATAACCTTTAACCCATTACGTCGCAAGGGAAGTAAATAAAGGATAATCTATAATATTTAGTTAGAACCCAAAGTGGAGATGCCTTCGATCTGAGGCCCATCCAAGATCGCTGAAGCAATGATCTGGACTTGGGCTTCGTCTCCAGATCCGTATCCATATACGTGTCCTTCTCCATATCCAAATCCAAATCCGCATCCTTCTCCGTGTCCTGTCGTCGCCAGGAGCAACAGCAGCAACAGCAGCAGCCAACAACAGGTACAACGTCCGTATCTTTGATGCCTGGCAATTGAAGCTAGAGGAATAGCAGCTGTATTAAAAAAAAAAAAAAAACAACAGGACCAGGATCTGGAGCAGAAGGAACTGGACTGAGGAAACGAAGTGGCGGCGACTCGGCTTTGCGCGATGCAAGCAAACAGCAGCCGATCCAATCTAAGCGCACAATCCTCGGGCACGCCATCGGCCTCAACGATCTCCTCGTCCCAGGGCAAGGTGAGTTTTAAGGAGTTATATAAGGAATATTTTTAGAAAGGTGCTTATAGAGTATGTAGGGTAAATATAGAGGAATATTTTGAGCGCTAGTTCAGCAAAAGCGGATAAAAAACATGGGAGTTATTAGACAATAAATGCTTATGTCTAACTCTAGCTACATCTACATCGGTGTGTTGGCAACACTTGTCTTAATTTAGGTATTGCACAACATGTTTCTAGCAACAGTTTTCTTCATTTGTCAAATTTTTTTTTACTGACTTCCGCTTCGTTTAATTAAAGTTTTTTATAAGTTCGAGCATTATAAGACAAAGTTAATTATCCATGTCCAAGTTTATTTCACCCGCGTACCAAGCTTTCTTAGTTGTTAAAAAAAAAACAGCATTATTTTATATATATTTTTAGTTTCAGTTATGCCTGTCGCTGTATTTATGATAAAAAGTTTGACTCAATCGATATCAGGATGATATTTGATCATTTAAGGTTTATATCCTTTAAGGGTTTAATAATTTCAGTCAGAAGCTTGTTACGCTATGAAGGAGTCATTTCCGACCCTATAAATCATATATATTCTTGATCAGCATCAACAGCCGAATCAATCTAGACATATCCCGCAGAAAAAAAAAAAATTATAAATTTTGTCATATTTTTATAAGGGGTTGCATCATTAAAATTGGCAGAAAAAAAAAAAAAAAAATAATAATTTTTTAAAACTTTTAATTGAGTATGCAGATTTATTAACCTGATAAAAACTAACACAGAACAGCTTTTCGAATTAAAATTAATGCTTTTTTGGCTCAGTTATGAGTCTTGAAACTTTAATATGTTGAAACTAATTTTCATTAATTTGTTCATTCATATTTTATACTTAATTCATTAAACATACTCGAAATGAATTCAAAAAGAATGTTTTTTAACATTTTTTCCCACTCACTTTGGACTATATTCTTTAACGCGTCTCTATTTAACTAATTTTAGTTATTACTTTTTATTATTTAGGAGCAAGTGCAATTTCTTCATTATATGTTTATATAGCTCGCATATGTATATTTCTGTATTTCCTGTATCGAAATTGAATTGATTTCTACCATTTTTTTTGTATGAATATATACGCAATTATACTTTCCCTTTATGGCCCTTGTTTATTGACTGCAATTATAAATATTGCCCCATCTGGCTGTCATCGCGGCAACTCAAACAGATCAGGATTCATATTCGCAGACGCAGTCTCGAATGATTCGAATTCCCATTGGAAAATGGCTTTCAGCTCGAGTGAAATTTTATTTGACAACTCGCTTCCTTCTGACGAGGACGAGAACGAGGACGAAAACGAGGAGAACGTGGGAGTTGGGTTATAGGGACGGGGGACTGGAAACGGGGGTGTCCCGGGCCCATTTCCGCTTTCAATTTGCTCGGTGTGCGTGTGTCCTTTTTGCAGGACCTGCTATTGGAGGAGGGAAGCTGAAAGGGGCTGACTGGAGGAACATAAATGTAACTGGGGAACTGCATCCGCTGCTTGTCAATCGAGCGACGACGTCTGATGAATGCAACCCTCCTGTCCCCCAGTTCCCTCTCTCATTCTGTCTCTCTTATTTGCATTGCCCATTGCCGGCGTTGTGTCCTTTATCGTTTTTAATTAAACATTGCCGTTTTGGGCTATTACACACAAACAAACACAGACATATACCAGTGCTAACGCAATCGCATAGACACAGGCATGCACTTGGAAAATTTAAAAGTTTATAAATTTATAGTGATTATTAGAATCATTTATATACTTTTTTCAAAGTTAAATAATATTTATTTGATATAATTATAATATAAATATAAATGGTCGAAAAGTACAGACGGACGAACGGACAGACGGACGTACAGACGGACAGGCGGACGAACAGACGGACAGATATGGCTAAATAGACAAGGCTTTTGATGGTAATCAAGAATATAGGTCCTTTATATGGTCGGAGATGACTCCCTCACTGCGATAGAAGCTTCTGACTTAAATTATAATACCCTGTAAAACCTATAGTAAAGGAACTAAAGGCAGGGTCAGTTTTATAACTATCGAAATAGTAAGATCTTATAATTAATTTGAGTATACGTTTGTAGATAGCATCAAAACAAATTGCTGAATCACTTTCAATTAAAACTAAGTACTGGGATCCATGGCAATAAGGGAATTAATTGAAAAATAAATGCAAAGCTAGCAGAGCTGAATCTAGACCAAGGCCTGATCCCTCCTATAGCATCTATATATGTATATAATAATAATATAATTATCATGATTAAGACTTACCCCAGTGGAGGACACGTCATTGTTTACTTCCTTCCATATAATAATATAATTGTCATGATTAAGACTTACCTCAGTGTAGGACACGTCATTGTTTACACTTCCTCCAGTGTAGACTTCGAATCTTGTTGACTTCAATTAAGGTAGTCATAATATCAATGATCACTTCCTGGTTATCCAAATGTATTCCAGTGGCCACGTCATTCTTTTAAGGTCGAATGGTAATCACTATCACTATCACTACCGATGTTAACACTAGGTACCCCTAGGACAGACTGAGGTCGCGGCGAACGAGGTGCCTCTATTTATAGTTCCCGAGTCGAGAGAACAGAGAAAGTGAGAGCGAGAGAGTAAGAGATAGGCAGAGAAAGAGTTAGCTCTGAAGATGCACAGTGGGAGTTGGACCTACCGGATAAAAAGAGGCAGAGAGAGTAAGAGAGAGGGAGAAAGGGAGAGAGCTGTTAATGCTGTTGACTAACATTATAATTCCCTGAAAGGGTATAATAATTATAAATGTTATTACTTATACATTTTATTAGTTATAAATTATATTAATCATCAAATTTGTATTGTTGATTTCTTATACTGTAAATCTAAAAATTAATGTGGATACCAAAGCATTACATTTTTCGATGGCTGTGTAGATTGCTCCTACCAAAAGTCATGTTGCCAGTGAGTAATTTTTCGTTTCGTTTCGATTTTCATTGCTTTTCCGGTTGGCTCCATTTCCTCACACATTTTAAAGTTGATATTTGCTTTTTGAAGAAGGTCCCTTTCTTCTATCTGTCTGTGTAAGAGCTCCTTAGATCCTTTAAATGGACGAGTGTTTGGAACATTATATATATAAATATTATTTTTTTTGCAGAAAAAAATGAAACTAAAAATCATCATTTATAAATTGATACAGGGTAGATTTATGTATGCCAGCGTTATTTACTTGTTATTCTTAAATGTTGGTTAGTTGTGGTAATTTACATTTGTTTATTTTTCTTCAGGCATAAATAAATGTTAACTGTCAAGATATGAATTTAATTGTTCCAATTGATACAGAAAAAACTAAGCATTACAAATATTTTTAAAGTTGGCACAATAATACTTCAAAGCTATGTAAATTAGCTTTCATTTGTGAGCATACTTTTAAATTGTAGTTCAGTTACTAAATAATAATTTAATCCATATCGTTTATTGTGGAATTTTTTTATAAAAAAGATAATGCAGACAAAAAATTGAAAGGTGTAGTAAAAATGCAATGAACTATACACCATCAACATTTTAATGTTCAAAGTAAAAAAATGCCATTGTTTGTTGTCACTAAAAAATGTCAATAACTCATTTGTTCGATCTGCGTTTTTTATGTTTCTTTGCTGATTTTTTATTGCTCTTTTATAATTTATTAAAATGATTTTTTGCTTTTACTTCTTTTCATTTATTCATTCTCCTTTAATTTTTAGGTTTTTGTATATTACTCTTGAAAGAAACAAAGTATATTTTTCCTTTCAGATTCTTGTTTTGCTTTTCGCATTAGTCTTTTTATGTTTTACTTTGTAGTTCGTTTCACATTTTCCGCAAAGTTTTTCCGTTGCTAATAAAGTTCTCATTCTCCTTTTTTTTTTGCTTCCCCTTTGCTCTCCTTTATTTTATTTAATATTTTTAATTAGTTGCTTCCCAGAATGAATCTTATTCCTGGAAATGTTGATTTGCCATTTTGAAATAAAAGTTCCATATTTCCATGGACGGGAGTTGTATTGTAAGCATTAAAATAATTATATTGCAATTAAAGGTGAGTTTGTGAAGCTTGAAGTAAATAAACATTGCCCTAGGACGTTTCCATATGTATACATATGTATAAATTTATATGTATATATTTTTACATGAAATGCCGCCTCTTTTGTTTCATTTCCATCTGTTCATTTTCCCATTGAGTGAGTTTTGTTTTTATATACATATTTATATATATTTATAATTGACTATCGCGTTAAATTAGTGCTCAAAAAGTTTATTTGGTAATTTTTAAATTAAATTTGAGCTTTATTTTTGCTAGCTGGTTAGTTTTTAGGCCAATTTGTTGTCATCCTCTGTTGAATTTATTATATTTCAAAACTATTTTTCTGTATTCTGTTGTTTATATTTATATATTTTATTGGAAAAGGCTCGCACTCTTAATTACATCTCATAATTTTATATTTATCTGGTATTTTCTCTTTCTACCAAGTTGGTTTTATTATTGACAGCACGAGTATTATTTTCGATCTGTTACTTTGTAATTAGCTTTTCTTTTCTTCGCCTTCTTGGAATGTCCTTCTGCCTTCTGTTTTTACTGTATTTGCTCGTGTTTAATTTGCAGTTCTTTTGAATTGCTCATTCTTGGAAAGTTCATTTGCGCAGATGAATATTTGGATCAGGGTTTTCTTGGGTAAAGATGGAAAAAGAAAACATGTACACAGTGCCAAAGCGCTCTGAAGAGTAAGCACTCTAATATATGAACTTTCTTGATATACACTGTAATTGTAGTTTTTTTTTGATTTTGTTTTTCAATTAAAATAAATAAAAAACGACTCATTAATTTCCATCATTTGCGTTAACACGAAGGCAAAATGATGAGAGTAAAGTATATATACAAAAAATATATATACATATATAATTTTGTATATATAATTTTATTTAATTGTTGTATCTGTATAGTGAAATCAAAAACCCAAGGGTTTAAATT